GACCTGGATGATCATGATCTTCATTGGGATCTTCATCACCAAATTTAACTATTCGTTCATCGAAATTATCACCAACTGTCAAAAGAAATGAAACAGGCATAAGTACAATGGGTTGACCAGAACGAGCTTGTTCAAGCTTGTCAAATTTTAGATAATTAACAATGGCATTGATAAACGTTGATTTACCAACACCAGATTCTCCCAGAAGAAGAACATTCATATAAGTATATTCGGAATGACTTGATTCATTGGAGATGTCTGGTGATAGTATTCTAGTTTGGTTACGTAGTTTAGGTGTCGGAGATAATGAAGAAATAGGCTGCCGAGTTTGTTCAGTATTGTTAACGGATGTTTCTAGGCTTGGCAACCTTGTTCCACGTTTGTTTTGCTGCTGGACTTTGCCTTGAGAAATCTGAGTGTGTTTTGAAAGAGTTTCTGTTTCATTTTGAATTCCAACTGCTGTTGATTTGATACAACCCATTCTTAATAGTAAATCAGTTTGAAAATGTTCTTTTTTGATTAAACTTAAAAAAAAAAATGAACAAAAGATTCAAAGACGATGGATTTGTTATTTGTAGGTATAATCTTGATTTTTACGATTAGTTGTGTATCTTTTGACATATTGAAATCATTGTTAACAAAGATCTTGATCTCTGACTAAAATATAACAAGATATCTATATTTTCATTAATTAAACGATATCTGACAATGTGAAAGAATGATTTCTTCTATGCAAGTTTTAGTATGTCAAAAACAAAAGTTGCAATGCTTTTAAAATATTGGCATTTAAAAATTAAAAAAAAAAATACAATTTGCCGCGCTTTTGTCATAGTTGAATAGAGCTGTGTTTTCCCACATATTTACACGATGTTTTTGTAGTAAAAGTTAGATTTAGACATACTAGAAAAACATATAAAACTTGTTATACACCAAACTCATCAAGTTTTGTTAGCTTCAATATTTATTCGAATAATTTTTTGATTTTACTCGTCATATCATTACGAAAGATTAATTTTTTTGATATGATTGTTAAAAAGGCATGAAAATGGATTTATATTCAGAAACAGCACGAAAATCTACATTAAATATTATACTTAATACTGAAAATTAATTTTCGTCACATTTCAACCTCGCGAAAAACGCAGGTAGAGCCCGTTGGCTCCAAAATTTTCCGAGCAGAACCGAAATATTAGTTTTCAGTATTAAGTATACTATTAGCCGCAGAATTTTGTACTGTTTCTGTACATGATATTTGCTTTTTTTGGAATTGAAGTTCTCATAGTCAAAACCTTAGAATACCAACTTCTTTTTTTTTGACTTCTTTGCTATCATATCGAAAAGACTTATTTCCGAAGTACATATCGAGTGACGTCAAACCAAAAATTCGGATAAATATTGAAGCTATTGAGACTTTATACATTTGGCGTATTTCAATTTTTATAGGCTTCTCTAATATGTTCAAACCTAATTTTTACTATAAAATCATCGTCTGAATATGTCAAAAACAACATTTTCATAGGTAATTCGACAATAAACTTTAGAAAACTATTACTATCTTTCTTACAAAAAACGGAATAAAATTATTTCAATGTTTTGCTTTGAAGACAAACATATATTGTTCCGATTATTTTTCAAGAAAAAAAAGGTCGTCTGAACTTATGATAGAAAAATTAAAATTTTGACAATTTTTATCGCTTTTTTGTTTTGAAACCATATGTTTCTCTATCCATACCTAATATCTTTGAACGTATTCATCAAAACTTCGGATCAGAAAATGGATACCAACAAAATAATATGACTGTTTTATAATAATATTATATTTCTATTTTAGAAAATATTTTTTATAGCTCTTACACTACTATATCATCAGTAAAATTGATCAAAACATGTATTGCTTGCAAATTAATTTCTTTCAAAGTGATAACTAATAAAAAAAAAACAATTGTAGAAAATTGCAAAAAAATCTTAAGACGTCTATGTATATAACAATTAAAAACTATGAAGTTTTTTATGTAAAGTATAGAGAAAATTGACTCAAAAACTATGCAACAAAGTTTTATTTTTTTTCATCCGTCTTTCTTCCTACCTTGACAATGATAAACAACATGTAGTGTGTTAGTTTTCCTTTTTTTATTTATGCCACACCATACATTTTCTCACAGGTGAAATATGAAAGGAAAAAAAAAAGATAAAGTTTAATTTTTAACGCAAGGCGGCCAACAAACTCTCACAATAAGCAGTACGTCGATGAGATCTTATAGAAGAAAGAAATGCGTGTCTTTACGAAAATAAAATCAATAAATTCGAACGAAAAAGAAAAAAAAAAGAGACCGATGAATTTAATTCAACTTTTCTTTTTGTAATGGTAATCGTGATTGACTTATACAATAAGTAGAAATGCATCAATATTAAATTCGAACAAATCTAATAAAAGATCTTTCTTTCGAATACACGCAAATATTATACATGTGTTACTGTTATCATTATATGTAGTTCTTCTTTGTGTTTAGAATTCTTTTTTAGATTGTTAATTTATGAACAAAAAATCAGGTATAAAAGCTCGATTCATCAGACAAATCGTTGGATTAATCGAGCATTTTTTAGCAATTTTGATGGGATGAAATTTTATATTAAAGGGAATTTAGACGATATTTTTATAACCATATATTACAAAGCATAAGAATGAATAACATGGTGATCAATATCGTTTGTCTGAAAGAAAAACTAGATTCGTAAAAACTTGAAAATATTTTTGTTTTGTAAGTCCTGTAATTGTCTTTTACATTATATAATTAATATTTATTTCGAATGAAATTTTACTATAGTGCTTTAGTTTTAAATTTAGATTGAAAATTAGAGTGTTCTATCATTTTTCCTTAAACGAATCTTTTTTAATTTTACTACCATAGTTATATCTTTACTAGTGGACATTATAGATTATACAAAAGAAAATGACAAAGTATCATCGTTAATAAACAGTCCGAGTATCTATGAGTAAGTATACTTATGTTTCGGATTATCTCATCTAATAATCGTCATACTCAACATCATCACTAGAGATACTCAATTTGTAAAATCAATCTTCATTTCGAATAAGAACAATGGATAAAATCGCTATTAGCAAACGATAGATACCAATGTATAAGCAAATTTTCAAACAAAATAAGAAATTCGTCACAATGAGATCAAAATAAATGTCATCTATGTATAATATGATTCATTATTTCTATTTGTTAATATCTGTTATCTTTTAAATTAGGATTTATTGTAGCGAGTCGTGACTATGATATGATCTTAGATACAAAAACTAGAACAAAGCAGAAAATAAAAAGTAAAGAATAACTTTTCGATAATAATAAACAAATTTCTCAATTACTGGAAGAAGAATTATATTAATCTATCCACCGAAAATAGTATCCCATACATAAATTGATGATTGCTTGAGAAAGTGGTTCATTTTTTTTTCTCGGAGTAACAGAAAATCTATTTCATTAAAATTTTATAACTTTTATTACAATTCCTATGTCAACTGTTCTTTTACAATGAAATAAAGTATAAGAAACAAAGTCGGAAATAAAAACTTGTGTAAATCTGACTTTTGATTATAGACGAAAAATTCGTACAGCATTTTGACCTAGAAAAAGAGCACGAGCCTTTTCATCAAGATTCAAATCATTAAGACCATCGAGAGCTTTAGCAGGAGTGATCATTGGAAAATTAGTACCAAACAAGACTTTATTACGACCATGAGTTCGCATATATTCAATTAAAGCAGAAGGATAACGTTTAATAGTATAAGCAGATGTATCAATATAGACATTGGGATGTTTAGTTGCAACAGCAATAGCTTCTTCTGTCCATGGATATCCAATATGACCTGCAACAATAGTCAAATCAGGAAAATCAAGTGCTACCTGATCAAGATAAATTGGACGACCAACTTCCGATGGCATTAAAGGGCCAGTATGACCAATTTGTGTACAAAATGGAATATTCAATTCACAACATGCTACATATACTGGATAGAAACGTCGATCCGTTGGTGGTACTTGAAATAACCACGGGAGAACACGAATTGCTTTAAAACCAAATTTTTCAACACATTGACGAATTTCACGCATAACTAACATAGGTCGAGTAATATCAACCGAACCAACACCAATTAATCGTCCATTTGATTGAGAAACAAAATCAAATACTTCTTCATTCGAAATCATTACTCTATTAGGAGAATACCAAGCACTAATTAACATACGATCAACACTAGCTGCATCAAGTGCGGCTACTGTCGAAGCTACACTTGGTGCTTCACTATAAGTAAGTGTTTTTGTCCAACGACGTAAACTATCAAATATAGGATCTTGAATATGACGTAATGTTGGATGTTGACCCCAAGCATCAATAATCATCTGCTGTTTGGATTCAGTTTTTTTATTAACATTATCACTTTTAACACTGTTCCATCGTTGTGTTTGAATATTTAAAGTATTTAAATTCATATGACGTAATATCGAAAATGACCATGAAGAAAATTGAATCGATTGATATCTTAGAAATGATTTTTGTATCATTTTTCTATAACTTTATTATGAAATGATATTTTATTATCTTTACTAGAATATGACTTGACCAGTATTGTTTATCATATGAATTTTCATTGTATCGAATTAAACGTATAAGTAATATTTAAGTTATGATTAAAAAGATGTCGCCTAAAGATTGTGTCATATAATATGAACAGTTTTTGAAATATTTCTAGATTATTACGTCAATTTAGTATTAAATTTGTTGAAAGTTTCATATCAATAACTTCTACAATGATAATGTATTTCATTAATATCTTGATCCATTAACTTAACTTTCATTGTTGAATATGATTGTATTTTCATCCATGTAATTCTGTACAGGTTAAGTAACAATTAATTTTGTAGCACATTTTTTTCGGAATAATTTGATCAATCAACAAAAAAAAATATTTTCACAACATCCAAAGTTATACATACATATCTCTTCTGTAATAGCTATGTTTATTAGAGTTTCGGGTGAGGAGATGAATATTCGCCCCTATGCTTTAATGTTCCTTTTAGATTGTGTTTTACAAAATAGATTCAGTTCTTATAAATAAACTTCAACATGAGAAAATGAAATTTTTCTTAACGTTCAAAAGTTACGAGGGAACTACTTGAACTAATATCAGCCGTTTGAGCTCATATTGTGTTCACAAGAAGGTTTCGGCAAGGCTAGAAAAATCGTACAACGGTTCGTGCTCATGATCCTCTAGAGTCGAGTTATGACCGTCTTACTGAATTTTCTATCCAGTTTTAAATATTTACCGAAAAATCGTCTGATACAATTTCGATCTGAAATTTCCCTCATAGGATAGGTCTATGACTCTGAAAATTTCAATCAAAACGAATATAACTTTGTCAAAATATTGAATTTTGACAAAGTAAACTCGTTTTTTTTATGGCATATCTATGAAAAGTGATCATTTTTTTAGAAATCCATTATCTCGACAAAGCAACATTTGTTTCGACTGAAACATTCAGGATATTCTCAATATATGAACAAAAGTTCAGATTAAAATTCTTTTATTTATTTTTGCGGTAAATATCTAAAACTGGATCAAAAATTTAGTAAATCAATCATAACTCGACTGTAGAGGCTCATGACCACGAATTCTTTTCAGATCTTTCCATTCTTACCAAGACCTCATTGTGAATCCAATATAAGCACAAACGGTGGGTATCAATTCGTGTAGTTCTCTCATTAGTTTTTTTCGATAATCATTTTGATAAACAATATGTTGGCCAGCTTCTGAATATCCTTGTGTTTTGTCTTGATCGCAAATATTACTATCTTAAAATTTACATATATTATAAAATCTTATGTATGTGTTAGGTTACTTGAGAATTTAGATAAGATTGAAATAGTATTTCATAATAATGTAATGAAAAGAAAAATGAACTAATTGTCTACATGCTTATTAATTGTTTTAACCATACGTAATAAATTGTCATGAACTGATTCGAAAATTTTTAATCGATATATGCAAGGAAAAGGTTTCAATTACATTTTTTATTAATTTTGAAGAAGACAAAATAAAAAACTTGATATTAACACAACACAAGAAAATATAGAATATGAAGTGACTCACAATTAGTTACTGTCATTTAATGATTTAATCGATAATTTTATTACAAAATTTTTAAATAAATTTATTTTCCATTGAAATAATATAAACCGTTAAAAATTTCAATTTATTTTTATTGCTGTATTCAAATGAAAAAGATAACGACCGAAAGTATAATCTATCGTTAGAAAATCAATATTAAAGATAATATTATATAAAAATAAAATAAAGTCTACATAAATTACATTAGAATTATTTGAAGTAAAAAATAGAACCATTATAAATAAATTTAATAGAATAAACAAAGAAATTAATGAATATTGTTTTGATATAAAAAAATTTGTCTTTCTATAAACAACAATCTTATACTTCTTGTTAATCATATGTACTTATTTTTTCTTCATAGTCAATATTAAGGTTCTTATATTTTACATCTCTTGATTAGTATGATTCTAGTACAAGTTGATATTTCTCTCCGGTTTCATCACAATTAAAAATATAGCTTAGAAAAAGAAAGTATCGAATGAGAAATTTAACAATAAATGACCATTACATTTCTCTCTAGAACTGCTTGTTTAATGATGACATTGATGCTGTGTATATCTTTGATTAATATTAATAAATTTCATAGTGATTTATATGTAAGTTTCACTCCTATGATAGTAGATATAAGTTTTTCTATTATTACCTTAAATCTTCGAATACGAATAATTAAAAGGTTTTTCCAGGAAACTATAGCAATACTAGGGATTTGAATGGGTTGTTTAGAATTCAAAAAAAAATCATTGTAATTTTAGTCTTACTTGATTTTTTTAGCTCTGAATCCTGAAAACTAGACATACGTATTTCCGATTAACTATACTAATTTAAATTTATTAAGTAATAAAATCATTAGTGAAAGATCTTCTCGCATATTCAATCAATGTGATAATTATTATGCATAGATTACGTTATGAAATTAAAGAACGAACATCTTTTTAAATAAACTTTAGTCTTATAAATTTGTAAACTTGATATAATGTTTAAAATTTTAGTTTCATAGAAAATACTTTTATATTTCTAATCATGGTATTTAATATCAATTTTGGTTTTTATTGATCATACGTCTATATAATGTAGATTAAATGCGTATTGAATCATTTTTGCTTACTTCTCGAACTCTAGTTCATCATTCAGGGTGGGTAAAACGTGAGACGGAAAACATGCGTAAAATTTCGTTTTATATAAAACTATGTGAAATATAAATAGAAAAAAAAATCATACACTAATATTGTAACGTTTTCTTCTGTATAACTTGATATTCTAGTAGTCTCTTTCTTTTTTTTCTTATTATTTTAAATATAACTATTCATGCATTTCATCATACATACATAAAATAGAAAAGAAGAAATACAAATAACATGAATAGGGGTGCGCAATCATAATCAGTCTGTACTAGTCATGCGTAACTAGTGTGATATATTTATCATAATATTGCAGGTGAGAATAAGAAGCAATATTAATATAAACGAGTCGAACAGTTAGAAGAGAAGAAATCAGGTAAAGAATAATTTGTAGTAAATTCAAGAGAAAATTAGAGAAAAAAATCACTTTGAAACAGACTGCAAAGTTATTTGTAATTCCAATATGTTTTTTCTTCTATTTTAAAGACTCTTGCTCTGTGTATATCTTTACTTTATCATAGACTAACTCTCTGCCTGTTAGAACTTATAGTGCTTTTAATTTCTCACCTATTATTTAATTTAAACCTAGTTAAAAATAATGTCTTCTTTCTTATATACATAAATAAAACTTATTTTTTTTTATCAATAACCTTAATTCTTAAGTCGACAAATACTTTGAACTCAAGATTATGCGTTTAAAACATCAATAGTAACACAGATTGTTTGTTTACTTCGCACTTTTATTTTTACATCAGATGTTTCCAATAAAAATCATTAGAGAGCTCGTAAAGATGAGATTTTTAAAACAATTGTGAAACCTTTAAGATTTTTGACAAATGTGAATTATTTTTTCTTCTCGCATCTATCACAAACTGTTTTTGTTTTTGTTTGTCAATTTATCGAAAAATTATTGTGTACAATAAAGTTCTACTTTTCTTTTTACAGACGACTATAGTTTCAAAGAACAAGAAAAAATCATTGATAACTTAATCTTATTTTTTTTCGGTTTAGCATTCAGAAAAGAAATATGATTATAAGAAATATAATATGATTTTATTTCTATTCATTCTTTTTCGTTCTAGTAGAAAACAAAAAGAATAAAATCAACAAAACAAAAATATTTATTGAGATCTCATATAATCATATTGCACAGTGTTTAACTATGGTTCAAATACATGAAACTGATTGTGCATCAAATGAAAGCCATTCTGGTAAGTCATGAATACTTTTTAAGAAGAGTATTTATGTTATTTCATTTTATTATAAGATTGAAATGAGTTTGATTTCATGAAAAATTTTCAACAAAACAAAAATTTGAGTCACATTAAATTTATTAGAGCGGAGAAATCATACTGTCTTTTTGAAATTGATTAAGTATTTCTGATATTTTCAATCACGAAGCAAAATCCGTTGAGTTAACAATGCTAAAAAAAATTAATTCGATCAAATTTTGCTATGATGCAGACTTTTGTCATGATTGAATTTTTGAAGAACCAAACGTCTTTTATTTTGATGAAGGATTTTTTCCTTGTATACTAATATGGATGTTAATCAGGAAGAAACACTTATAGGATTTTATATGAGCATCATATGTTATTGTATTGTAGAATCTTCAGGTATCCCGAAACTTGATGAAAATACAAAATGGATACAAGATGGTACAACGGTTGCTGGAGGCAAACGATGGGGCACTGATTTAGGTTCTCTTAATTTTCCATCTGGTATATGTGTTGATGATGATGAAACCGTTTATATAGCTGATTACTCGAATAATCGTGTTGTGGAATGGAAAAAAGGTGCAACGAGTGGTAAAGTTGTTGCTGGTGATGGTGACCAAAGAAATCGAGCTGATCGATTGCGTCATCCGAAAGATGTAATTTTTGACAAAACCAGTGATAGTCTTATAATTGCCGATGAAGGAAATAGACGAGTGGTACGATGTCCACGTCAAAGTGACGCAAATATGGAAACAATTGTTTCAAACATTGATCCTTCCGATCTAGCAATGGATAGCGATGGAAATCTTTATGTGTGTGACTTTGAGAAGCATGAAGTAAAACGATGGAAAATAGGCGATACTGATGGAACAGTAGTAGCAGGTGGCAATGGAAAAGGTGTTCGTCTCCATCAACTTAGTCATCCCACTTGTATCTTCGTTGACAAAGATCATTCAGTATATGTGTCGGATTGGGGCGGTCATCGAATCGTCAAATGGGCGAAAGATGCAAAAAAAGGCGTTCTTATTGCAGGTGGCGATGGTTTTAGTAGAGATCCG